GATTGAATCATAATTAAATTATTAAATTGACTATTCAAATTTCAAATGCTAGATTGATCATTTATTTGTATTTGGCTTCTCTTTTATTTGTCTCACATAAATATCTCATTCTCTCGTTGAAAAAATGATTTTTAAAATTTTTGTTGCTTGAAATAATTTATGATTTTGAAAAATGATTTTTAAAAAAATTATTTCTGAAAAATATCTCAAACCTCTCACTGGCACGTCTTTTAAGAGTGGTTGCTCTTTGAAAATATCTCATCCTAGTCACTTCCTTTAACCATCATCTTCTTGAGTTATAACTTGGGCTTTGCTTCTCCTTCTAAAATGTCCCATTCTCGACAATATAATGTACTGCCATGCCTTTTGACATTAATGGTTTTGACGAAGCATTCTCCAAAAAGTTTTGAACCAACATGTGATTACACGGTAGTGTGCTAGTGTGAAGGAGTTTTGAGACCCAAGGCAAAATTATTTAAAAGGCTTGATGTATTATTCTCGCCGTCGCTGTTATAGGATACCTTATGCAAGGATTCTTTAGTATATATAAGACACATGGGGGGTCATTTATTATTATTTTTCAATTTTACCCTTATTATAATAAGAATGGATGGAGTATTATTTATCTACCCTTATATCACTTTTCTTAATTACTAGATATATATGATATAAGCAAGTAATAAATTCTAAATGAAATATATAATTAACATTAATGCTTAACGGGAAAAATAATGGCAAGTTATATCAGATATACGTGAGATTTAAGACGGCGAGCTTAATTGCCTAGTGTCACATATTAGAGTATAACAAGAAGTCTCACATCTAAAAATTAAAAGATGAATCATGAATATATAGGCTTAAGCTATTTTGGTGGGATATACTATCCTTAAGTATACTTAATATAAGAAATCTAACATCACACATAGCCTTATATGATTAATTAAACACTAGACCTCTAAGTTTGTAAGCAGCCACTTGGAGATCCATCATGCAGAGCCACATGCAAAACATTGATTCAGGAGCCCAAGAACATGTGGCTTGGAATACTATTATGATAAATTCAATATATAATATGTAATTTATTTATAATTTGTTATAGTTAGTTACAAACTTTCAATCACCACTAGTATTGAGATGAATTAAGGCATATCTCAAGGTATATGGGATTTAGTAACAAAAAGAGAGGGAAGGGATCTAGAAGAAGCTTCATGGTTGGCATCATCATCAGTTTGTGGTTCAGCGAGCTTTGCAAGCACAAGAAAAGGATAGAAAGAGATGTATCTCATGAATGGCGAAGTTGAGGAGGAGGGTAAACAAAGGAGAATGTATAGTAACACAATCGTGGCAACTAGCAGTACACTTATTGTCACAAAGGTAATAGTCAACCAGGTAAGTTTGCTCACTACTAGGTACACACCTGCCAAAAATGCCAGTGATAGTGTTGTGAGAGAGATGCCCAGAAGTGGCATTGCATAATTGAGGGCATAAAGTATTAGACGGAGATCTCCTAGTCGAGCCCACATGAGAAGAATTGTCGTGCTGATGGCACAGTATATAGAGATTGTGAGACATAGAATGTACAACTGGAATATGTGGCGATTAAGATTCACAGCAGTCCCATCATCCACATCACCTGGCATGGTAAACCCAGCAGCAAATGACGCTGTTATTATAAGAGTTGAAACCACTATCAAAGTTTCAATTCTGTCTTTATATCGTTCAGGTCCGAATTGCTTTTTCTTCTCTTTAGTTGGTGTGCTTTCAAGAGAGAGTCTTTTCATTGAGTTTTGAGGTCTACCAGCAGACTGCAACGCAATCCATGTAAGTCACTGCAAATATATATTTGGATTTGTTACAAACAAAACTTGCATTGAATCTCCATTTAAATATCAAATTTTGCATTAATATACTTGTCTGTGCCAAAGATGCATTTTGTCCAAGCCATTGGTCAGCAATGTCTAAAGCTGTTTGGTTCTTTTGGTTCAGCAAAGCAAGATCAATTCTTTTATCCCACGTAGGCATGCACAATTTTAGGATTCCAGTAAAGGGTGGCCACGTGTAAAGGAGTATTCCCATCAATATCCTTCTGATTCACCAGCTTCTCGAGCTTAGGATGTTGGAGGATGTACCTTACCACTTCAAACTTCCCTTTCTTAACAGCAATGTGAAGAAAAGTTTGGGCGTTATTGTCCACCATCTCTGCGGGATCTGGGCACCATTTCAGTAACTCTTGAACTATTTTAACATGACCTCCCTTACAAGCCAAATGAATTGGGAAGAAGCTGTCATTGTCCATTTCCATGGTGCAAGAAACACATTTTTTGATCAAGTAAGAGACACCTTCAAGGTAACCCATTAATGCTGCATCATGAAGAGGATACCTTCCTTTTTCATTCCTTAGATGTATCCAATCTGGTTTATTGCTTAGTATGGTTTCAAGCATAACTACGTAAGTAATTAAAAAAGACACGTTAATGGGGACATATATCAACGTACATAACGTTAGAAAGATATCAATACATAGAATGAAGAAATGAATCATCAACTCAATGACAAAAGTTGCATATATAGTAGTTACCTATATCCTTGTTGATGATTGCTGGAAGAAGAGGTGATTTTCCTAGAGGTCGCAACCCAAGGTGCATGCACATATCAAACAATGTAGTAACAACTTGGCTGCAGCCAACCTCAATGGCAAGGTATAACAATGATTTTCCTTCCCTGTTAACCGCAAATGGTGTCACAGAATTAACAACATTCTTGAAATTAGCCTCAAACTCTGAATGTTCTCCTGTGATAAAAGGATCTTGGAAAGCTTGGAAAATCATTGCCCCGCTATGGATATTGATCGTCAAGGCCTCGTGAAGGAAAGTGTTTCCTTGATCATTTTGCAACACAGTGAGTGATACCAAGAGCATCATCACCAAAGTATATTGATCATCATGGCCACTTGTTTGCTGGCGTGCTAAAGGCAAAAAAGCCTTCAAAAGAGATTGAATGGTAGAGGCATGGCCTGCTCTGGCAGCAACATGCAATGGCGTATCGAAGTTATTGTTAGTTTCAGTGAAAAGGGAAGGAGCATGTTGAGCTACTTTCTCTACCATTGAATTATTTCCATAGGAAGCTGCCAAGTGTAGAACAGTGTTGCCTCGTGGGGTTCGCTGCACATAAATGACATTCTGAGGGAGGCCTCTCTCCACCCACTCAGGTACAATGAAGTCCCTGTTACAACTTACAACGTTGTTAGCATTCATGGAAAGATATGCAGCTGTTAGCAAATTCAAGTCCTTGGTGGGTCCATGCTTTTGCTTCGTTATCAAGAGGCCTGGATTAGCCCTCCCCGACCACGAGGGTATGATAACATTATTGTCATTTCTCATATCTCTATAAACCACTTCGAATACAATAGTTATTGTCGCTACATCTCCTTGGATTTTTCTCTCCATGTGCCTTTTAATTTCAACACTTGTTGGAGACGTTCCACCACTTGGCATTGAGAAGATTTTCTCTGGCAGGCCTGCTTAAACCAAATCATAATATTGTAGTATATATCATAAAAAGAGAATGAAACTTTTAATTTTTCAAGTCTAAATTTTATCGATTTGGTTTCTAATTATATTTTCTTAAATTATAAATCTTTAAGTTTGAGAACACAAATTAATTTTTCAATATCTAAAGTATATTGATGAGTTAGCATATATACGTCGCTAAATAAGAATAACTTACCATTCAATAAATTATTTTAATTTTTATTAATAAAATCCTTTACTTTGTGTTTTGTTTTCCAGTTTTTTAAAATTTTAGAGTCTATCTTTTCATCTAAATAATTATAATTCCTTTCATTATTCATGTCTGACATCAACATTCTATTATGGGAAAATATCAGTGAAGGACCCCTGAAAGATAATTTACTATTTGATAGGATTTCTAACAAGTGAATGTTAACAAATTAACAAGTGAAGTTATTGTTTTAACAAATATCTAATATGTTTTGGTCATTGTCAAATATTAAATTATTTTAAAGATCTTTTATTGATATTCTCCCATTTATTATTCTTCAATATTCAGTTATTCATATAAAAAAATTTTAATAGAGTAATTAACTTCCTTTACCAACATAAATGATAAGCAAAGTAAATATAAGAAATTAAATTGATAAAAATTAAATTTAAAAGACCAAATTGATAGTTGAGACAAATTTGAAGGAGTAAAAGTTGCACCATCCATATTATGAACTATATATATATATATATATATATATATATGAGAGTATTGATTTATTTATACAAGTATGCAATACCTATTCGAAGTACATTCCTATCCACTGCTGAAGATCCTCTCATCTCGAACACCAGCAGTAGCTCGATCTTTGATTCTCTTCTCGTTTCCTTCTCAGATAGGATCCAAGAACTTGAAACATTTAATCCTCAAAAGAAAAGGTGGATTTTCAATTAATAAACCTATTTTTATTCAAAGTATATCATAAAGTTCATTTTCTTAATTGAAAATATAGCTTATTTTATGAGATAACAATAAAACACTCAGATACAAGGGGGGAAAACTACAAAAAGATTACGATATGACTTAAGAAAATATAGCATAAAATTAAAGTCCAGGAGAAACAAATCTAACTTCTCGAAACTATATGTAACATATTTCACCTACATTTTATTTTAATATTATTTATTCTATTCTAAAAAATCATAGTTTATTTCTGTACAACTATTTTTTGTTTATAAATTATTCATATTAATTAGATATGCATATCAAACAAACATGTTATTGCTGAAATTAGGTAGGGTAATTAAATTGCTGTTCACGAAATAAAGAGTAACCTCTTTATCAGTTCTTGAAATTAAAGATGGCTTTGTAATTTTGATACTCTCATTCATTATTCATCACGAAAAAGGAAAAAACGAACTTAGCCGTCTTAATTATATAATATTTCGACCATTATTCAACCCCAGAAGGGAAAAGGAAATGAAGCTGAAAACAATTACAATGGTATGTTTGCTGCGATTCCATTTGGTGAGGCTGTGAAGTTGAAGATGGCCTTTGCTCGGCCTCTGCGTCTCCAGCAGACATGGCAGCAATTATATTTTCACCTGCTGGGATTAACTTCACAAAAGCATCAATCCCATACAAACAATTAATACATAAAAATATGCAATGATACAATAATATAGCTAAATTTAAGAGGATGAAGCAGCATGACCAGTGGAAGATATTTTGTATAATTATAAAAATGAATTTCACCTTTTTTGAAATATTTTCTCACAAGAGTGCGTTGCCAGTTGATCAAAGCTCTAGATAGTGTTTACTTATTTAATTTTTACTTCGAATATTTAATTATTGGTCCATTTAATTAAATTTTTAATATTAATTAAAAATTACACATATGTTTTCGATGGAAACTTTGATTTAGACTCGTTCCTATAATTTATTTCATTAAACCATATAAGTTTATTTATTTTATTTAAACTAAAAGCAATAATTAAAAAAATAAATTATTTGAAAAGTAACCATTCGGTGACCGTACATAGGAACATGCTGCCTTTTGTATCCAGCAATCTTGTTTCATTTGCTTGTATTCTTCTTTGTGCTTTGCTTTTATTCTAGTGCTCTCCGTGGGTGCTTTGCTTTTATTCTTTAATTTATTCTTGGATCACATTATGATTTTTGTCTATTTTTTTGGGAGAATTTCAATAAAAGACCCTTAACTAAACTTATTTACATTCAAATAATAGTAGTCATACCACTATCAAATAAAGCTACTTTTTTCTCACTTCCTTTCTGACCTCCTCTTGCTCTCTTCACATATATACATAAGTAACGAAGTGTGACATATGTCCCAATAACTCATAGGTAACTCCAATTACTAGTTAGTAAGCAAATCCATAAACAAGAGATAAGGTAGAATGTGTCTCAATAAAAACAATATCATATGCATATACAAGAATTCATTCTCATCAATCTCATTATGCTTATGCTCATACATTCCTAGTTTCACTATAGGAGTAATCTCTATGCTCGAACTAGGACTTTCAGTTACATGGAACAGGGCCTATTATACCACTGCTCAGATCAAATAATCCTCTTCATATATGGGTGGTATCCTAGATCTGTCATGGTAGAGTTAAACTCTACACTCTAGATCATCAAGACTTCCTAACCTTATATAAGTAGGACCATGACCCCTTACCTTAGTTTAGGATAACCTTATGGATCATTCCATATCCTAGGTCTGTCATGACGGAGTTAAGCTTTATACTTTGGATCATCAAAACTTCCTGAACCTCCGCAAAGTAGGGCCACGTACCCCTACCATAATCCAGGGTATACTCATGGATACGATGCATGTCAATGCATGTCACCTCAAATTCATTTCAATTAATACTCATATACCTGCATGTATATTCTTTCACAACGTTACGACTCTATTAGTTCACAACACAATACATATAATTATATAAAAATAATTGTAAATAATTTCACAAACAAACAAATAAAAAGGTTATTCTAATTACCTTTAACCCTCACTACTAAGGGTGACCAATCATTATGGATTCCCCAGCGTATAAATTCCCATAAGCGATGTCATAGGTGCTTAATCTATACAATACAATATCCCTCAATCAATTCTCAACATTCAACATAGGTATTAATTCAGTTAATCTGAATCCCTTAACACATAAAACGGTCCAATTAATACCTTCTAGATTCACAAGTCCACTATCTATAGTCATCAATCCTATAGGCTATTCAAATAACCATAACAACTTCCTAACTCATTTATTCAATCAATTTTGCCATTTTACTTAAGGTTCTTAGGCTAAATGAGCCTAAACTTTAAAAATTAACCATTCAACTCTATACTAGTCACAAAACCTTAGTTTCGTATTTAATAGCCCTATTTTGACACTTCTTTTAGATTCCAACAACTTAGAACTTCATGATTCAATTTCTCAACCAATAAAATTCAATGAAAATGGGGTGAAAATAAAAGGTAGGGCTACGCAATACTTACCTAACAAGTCACTAATTAAAGCAAATTCTTGAGCTCCAGACATTGCAAGCCCTAACAAAGCCAAACTTCTCCACCTCCTCATACGTGTCTTTCACACTTCTCCCTTCTAATTTCATGAGCTGATCACATCAACTTTAAGTGATTTTTGCACAATATGCCACAGCACGTGGCACAGTGAGGTTAATCTCACTTGTGCTCGCACATTATGCCTCGGATTGTCGTTCTACCCTTCAATCCTATTAACAAAATATCCAAGCATCACAAAAAATCAACACGACATTCAAACCATAATCAATCCACTAATTACTAATTTATCCCTGATTAGCAACTAGTTTCTTGGATTGAAATTCAAGATGTTACATGAAGGCAAAGAGGAAAACAAAGAAAACATGAGAGGGAATGGAAAAAAGAAAAGGTTCAGCTAGGGCAAGCATTTTTAGAGCATTGGAAGGCACTTCTGATCAGTAACTTATCACGTAAGCTTTGTACAACCCTTATTTTTTATTCTACTACAATTTCTCTTAGTATGAGTTATAGAGAAATTGAACCAGTGAAATTTAAAGGGTTTGTTTCTTGCTTGATAATAATAAAAAAGTTCGCAAGAGTTAAATTAGATGTTTTTAGCTAGTTTGGAGTTGAACGATAAGCCTTCAAACCCGTAAGCTTAATTTGGCCCTAAACTAAAGGGAAATAAGAGTGAAAATCGTGTTTGAGTGATATAGGATTGTGAGAAGTGGTTAAAAATGGTAATTGAATGGGAATGAAATTAGATTAGTTAGATGGAAAGAATTAAAGAGCTAAGTATAGCTATTAGTAGCAATTTAGTGTATTTGGTCAATTGAACCAATTGACTAATTTGCCAATTGTGTGTAGATTGGCATAATCCTCGCATAGAATAAGAAGAGAACTTGATAGAGATGAGTTGTGATTGAGAAAATACCACATCTTATGACAGAATGGTTGAGACAACTGAATAACTTTCTTTATTTTACTATTTATTGTAACTTTGTGTAAGTATACTATCTAGTGCATAAAATTGTTTTAAGTTAAGCATGCTTTATGACATTTCGTGAATGTTACATGAAAATGATTTTTGATCAAATAGATGGGTGAAAATATGAGATTTTATGTATGTACGTATATATGTAGATTTTATGTATGTATGTATGTATGTGTACAGTGGTAAATGGAAATCTATGATTGGATCGAAAAGCATGATCATAAGGGTAGGAGTTCAATCTGTGGACTGTAGTAAAAGATTATATGACATCATTTTCCTTAATATTAAATGGGGTGCGATATTGAAAAATTATATATCTTTAATGCCTTTCAAGGTGCAGTGTTAGAGATTATCTCCTTAATATCTATTGAGATGCGGCGTTAAAGATTTAGACCAAGTCCTCAGCACACTCTTGCTCTGCCATGTTTGGTAAAATTACTCAGCTTATGTGTCCAGAAAGCGTGCAAAAATATATCAAGAAGTACGAATATGCGAGGATCCTGCAAGCGTGCCTTTTCTGCAGTTAAAGCCTAAAGAGTGAGTTCAAAAATGGCTTGCACCATACTGAAAGTGAAAAGCTCAAATGAACAAGAAGATAAGATCAAGGCACAAAATCTTGTTGCATGAGACACAGCAGATGCGAATCCAACATTAGTGGCCAATAACTAACAAACACCTGCCTTGCAAGACTATGCTATGTGTCATATTCATCTGATTAGGTAGACAACTATACAAATCAGCAAGAGAAAAACAAGCCCAGTAGGTCCCATGAACGGCATGTAATAAATACAAGCATCACCCACTTCTTTGGACCCATGGGGAAAAGACAAAATAGAAGAAAGAAAATTAGATAAAATCCCAGCAGGACACGTTTTTAAAAGAATATGTGAAGGAGATTCATTTTCCAGGTCAAATTCTCAAAAAATTAATTAATTCATTACAAGATGAAGGAAGCATGTAATGTTTCCCTAATCCTGATTTAACACCTAAAGAAATAAACAGCCAGAGAAAAATTCAGTACCTGCTGGATTGGTGATAACAATCTCATACTCCTCACCGACCTTCACCTCAGTCAGGCCCACCAGTTGAAGATCAACACCGAGGAATTTGGTTTGCTCCAGCTCAGTGAGAGGGATGAATTCAAAGTAACCAATATGAGGAAGCACCGCATAAGTGGCCAATTCAGGGGGTAGTTTTGGGTTCACATTTGCTGCAATCCATCCTTCAGAAGTCCCATAGTCAGCAGTCAACAGCAGCTCCCCAGCATAGTGCCTCAACTTTTTCAAATAAGGCTCCATTGACCCGGTCATGATCCCATAAATGTACTTAGTATTGGGGAAAAGCTCCGGTATTAGCCCAGACCAGTTGCTCAGATACATTTCTTTTCAATCAGGTTAGCTAACTCCGGGTTTGGGTTGAGAAGTTTAGACATGGCCATTCGAATGGATGGAACGGTGACTCTGCTTGTGAGGACCCCTTCTCGGATGTCACTGCAGAGCTCTTCCCAAACTTGCTCAAAGGTTCTAAATGCATGGACAATGCTATGTGCAAATGTAGAAGCCACCAGCTGCACCTCTTCACGGAAAGTAGCCACACAACAGATGGCAATACAATGATTGATGAAAATCTGGACCAAATATTACTTCATCTGGGCTGCAACAGTGGGACTGAAGTGCCTTCATTGCGTGTTTATACTGCGCATTTCGGAACACATTGGTTGTGGCAGTTCCAGCCGCCAGACCACCTTTTGTTTTGAACTGCTTGCTGCTATATATATAAAGCTCAAGGCTTTGCCATTTTTTATTCGGAACTCTCTGCGTAATAAGATTATGTCAGATACAGCTCCCAGGAAAAGCTTTGTGAAGAGAAGCAACAAGAGAAGAAAAAGTATTTTGTCCAACCTTCGCAGCAACTATGGAAGTCAAGGAAGCAGAAACTTTTTCTATTAAACACTTGTTTCAAGAAAATCCTTTCCTGAAAATATTTTCATACTAAAGAAATGAAGCCAGAGGGAAAAATAAACTTGAATACCTGTTCCTAAAGGCAAAAGACGTCTGATATATCTGCATTGTGGTTTCAAATAATTCATCGTTCCAGGGTACATACTTTGGCTTCCCCTGTGTAGTTCCAGAACTGCAAGAGAATCTCTATAAGATTCTACTCAACTAATAGCCGTTGAAATGGTTTGAGGGTGGGGGGGGGGGGAATAGCCTGACCTTAAAGACATTGTTGTGATTGGCTTTCCAGTGAGAATGGAAGAGGCATCGCCGTCAATGATTCTGATGATATAAGGCTTCAATTCCTTGTGGGTAACCAGAGGGACGTGAGCCTTGAAACTCACAGGATCGGTTCTTCCATGAAGACCCAGATTCTGCAAGTATTCAGCTGAAGCACTGTCTTCCAAGATCCTTCTAAGCGTCTCCCTCTGAACCCTTTCAGCATCCTTGGTGAGTTCCTCAAACTCGTCAATCACTTTGTCCATGTTGAATTCTTCCACCTTCTCCAACATTTTCATTCACACACCTTGAAGTGCAGCTATATCAGAAAGCAAAGAAAGCACTCAGTTAAATAGACAATGAACCAAACAACTATTTTTCTTGTTTTGTTCAGACCCGTCAAATAATAGTCCGAATAGAAAGAGTGAGGTGGGGAAAAAGTCAAAGTATATTGAGAGCGATAGCAGAAAAAGCCAAAACATGTTAAAAATACATTGCATCAGAAAAGATAAAAGCAGGATAAAAACCAAACCGCCAAACAGTTAGATTCATTTGTGGATTTTTTTTTTTCTTCCTTCGCTGCCATTTTTCCTCGCCAATGGACCCAGATGAGTAGTACTCCAGAAAACAGAGGTCCACTTTTAACTTTGAAAGAACGAAGAGAAATTAACACTCTACGTGTACAATGGACCTCTGAAAGGAGCAAAGAGAAGGAAAAAATTGCATCCCACAGGAATAGAGAGCGAAGGGGAAAAAGCCAATTCCGAAGCCTAGAAGGTGGTGAAGTAAGAATTCAGACAAACCCAGAGGAGGAGGATCAAAAAGATTAGATAACAACTCCCAGTTTTAATAGTTTCGTTTCTTCTTGCTTTGACGAAAGTCAAGTAAGTCAACACAACTTTCACACACACACACACACACAAACAGAGAAGGAGGGAGGAGACTATTCTTTGAAATTATATCTAATTCATGTGAAAAAGAACTGGCATGCATCGAACCGATGAATTTCCACAATAAGAGTGAGACAATTGACAGGAAATAGAGCACAGTGATCCAATTTAATGACCAACGAAGCTGTAAAAACTACTAAAAACACAAAAAAGCAAGACGTAAAAAAGGAAACCAAAAAAAAAAAAAAAAAAGTGGTCCGTGAGAAAAGAAGACGACGGCAGAAAGGAATCTATAAAGATGAGATTTTGAGATAGCAAATCAAGGCCTATTTAGAGATAATTAGCAGTATTGGTTTAGATAGACAACACAGAGAACTCGGAATAGAAGAACAAGGACTTGTCCAATTGCTCGAGAAAATTCTGTTTAAAGAACAAAGAAAGGAAGAAAAAAGAAATGAAATAAAAAGTCAACGGAATCATGCCCTGTTTGTTTCACAGTAAAGTTGATACAAAACACAAGAAAAGGCAACAGAATTCATCTGGGTTTGCTTCAATTTCAACAGAAACGACGACGATAACCACCAGGACTGTGTAAAGAACTTCTCAAGAGCAAACCGAAGCAAACTAGAATCTTTCAAGATAAGAAAAAATGAAAGGAGATCGAAAGTCAGAAACATGAGAATTGAAATACAATACCCGAGACAACGATATCCTGGTGTATTTCAGGTATGGGCGACAAAATGAAGCTTCCTCAGTCAGAGAGAAAAAAGACAGAAAAAGGAGACGAACTTTTAAGGAAGCAACAAACAGAAGGAATGAAGCAAAAGGAATAAACGCGGGATCTCAAGAAGCTACGAGTGAGAGAGGGAGAAGAAAATGGGGTGTGACAGACGAAGCTGTACACGACGTTCTCAGCTCAAAGAGACATGAAATGAAAGTTGCTTACTTGTTTTTGGGCCTTGGAGAGAGAAAGTCTTCGTAAAATGGTCTGCCTCTGACTCCTCACTACCAATGATGTTAAACCCGGACCGAACCGGACGGTCCGACCGATCCAACCGTCACCCGATGACTGAAACAGTCTGGTTCAACCAATTGAACCACTCAAGCTATTGAACCGGATTGACCCGGAAAGAACCGTCCGGTTTTCATTGAACCGGAGTTGACCCGGAACCCGGGTCCGGTTCAACATGGGTCAATCCGGGTCAATTTAAAAAATAAAAAAAAATTACTTAAGGGCTTCTACGATTCTGCACTTCTACTTCTGCGCCACGTCGCCACCGAGACCGAATTGAAGTCTAAAGTCTGAACTCTCAAGTCTCAACTCTGAAGGCTGAAGCACAGGCACTGGCTGCTCTCTCCCTCTGTCACACCGTCTCACCTCTTTGTCACGCCGTCTCGCCTCTCGCACCTCTGGTTTTGGTAGACTCCAGACTCCATAGACGAACAAACGCGAGCTCACTCTCGCCATCTCGGATCAGGGTGATCAGTAAAGTGAGGAGGAATAATCAAATACTCTCTGCTGCTCTCTTCACCTGGCGGTCCACGAAGCACTTTCATTTTGTAGCTCGCCGACCATCGCATTCATCTGTGATTTATCACGACTTCATTTTCACTTCACCACTGTGGTGCTCGGCCTCAGACTCAGTCTCAGAGGCCAGAGCTCAAAACTCGTTTTCCTCCAATCTGGTGAGTCTGGTCTCTCTCTCGCCTTTCTCTATTTCTCATCTTCAATGATCAACTAATCAAGCTTAAAATTCAAAATTTTGATTCATATCCTTCTCACATCTTGCTTGCCATTCTCAGCGCAGACCCAGATTTTTCATCGCCATTGTCAGCCATTCTCGTCTCGCTCGCCACTCTGAGCTCGTGCCTCTGCCTCTGCTTCCAGCCCTCCACTCGAGTTGCCTCCAGCTCCTCCCAGCTCTAGCTCGTGCCTCTTCCTCTCTGTGATTCTCATTTTGCTCTAACTTGTTTGATTCTCGGTGTGCTCTGCTCTCCTTCCAGGTTCAATTTTTAGCTTATATGTTCTATCTATGTATTTGAGTTTGTAATTTGTATAATGAGTAGTATGTATGCACAATTCGTCCAGGACTCCAGGCAGCTTGTTTGCTTTATTTTTCATTACTTTGTTATTTATTGATATGGAATTCTGAATATGATCTAATTCCTCTCTATTTTTCACATTTTATCTGTGCTTTCAATTTAAATTTAGAAAATGTCATCTGAACAAATATCTAGTACTGCATCTACACAATCTGTTAGAGCTAAGTCAGATCCTACATGGGAGCATTGTACTGCAATACCAAATGAAAAAGGTGGCAAGCCTCGCTTAAGATGCCTATATTGTGGAAAGGAATTTGGTGGTGGTGGAATACACAGAATGAAACAACACCTTGCTGGAAAAAAAGGAGATGCAACTAGTTGTAAAAGTGTACCACATGATGTTCGCTATCGATTGGAGGAAAACTTGAAAGAAATTGATCAAAAGAGACCAGCTAAGAAATTGAGAAAAGAAGAGGACAATCCATTGGAAGTGGATGATGGAATTGTGCAAGAAATAATTCCTTTAAGTTCCTCTCAACTAGCCAAAAGAAAGGCATCTACAGCTGGAGACAAATTCTTTGCCCCAAGGACAAGCTCGGGAGCACAGCCAGGAATTCAAAGTGCATTTGCAGGTAAAGAAGCTTTGCATAGAGCGGATTTAGCTGTGGTTAGGTGGTTGTATGATTGTTGCATTCCTATGAATGCTGTAAATTCTGTTTACTATCAGCCCATGATAGATGCTATTTCAACTATTGGCCCTGGTTATAAAGGACCAACTTACCATGCTGTGAGAACCAAATTATTACAAGACATGAAAAAGGAGGTGCAATTATTAGTTGATGAATGTAGAAGCTTTTGGGCTGAGACTGGATGTACAATAATGGCTGATGGTTGGCAAGATCAAAGAAATAGACAGTTGATTAATTTCTTGTTTATTGCCCTAGAGGAATGGTTTTCATTAAATCTGTTGATGCATTGGATATTGTTAAGGATGCTCAAAATCTTTGCAACTTATTCATGGATATGGTTGCTTTTGCTGGTGCGGACAATATTGTCCACTTGGTAACTGATAATGCAGCTAATTATAAAGCTGCTGGAAGGTTGTTAAATGATAAGTTTCCTTCTATTTTCTGGTCTCCTTGTGCTGCCCATTGCTTAAATTTGATTTTATTAGATATTGGCAAAATGGAGATTGTTAGTAGCTTAGCAACACGTGCATCCATGGTTTCGAAATTCATTTACAACCATGTCTTTTTGCTAGCTTGGTTAAGAAAAAGAGAAGGTTGGACAGAAATCATCTGGCCTGGTGCAACACGGTTTGCCACTACTTTCATTGCCTTGAAAAGTATCTATGAGCACAAGCATGATATTCAAGCTTTGATAACAAGCAAGACATTTATAGAATCTAGATATTACAAGGATTCAAAGGCAAAGGATGTGACAATGATTGTATTGGACAATCAGTTTTGGAATACTTGTAAAATTGTTGTTGAAATTGTAAAACCACTTGTGAGATTGTTGAGAATTGTTGATTCTGATGACCGGCCTTCACTTGGCTATGTTTATGACGGCATGTACAGAGCAAAAAGAGCTATAAAGAATACTTTTAGGCACAAAAAATCCTTGTACAAGCCTTACACAAGTATTATTAAGAGAAGGTGGGATTCTCAACTTCGACAAAATCTTCATGCAGCAGCATATCTCTTTAATCCTGCTTTCCTTTATGATAAGGAAAATTTTTCTAGAAAGCTAGAGGTTATGCAAGGATATCTTAATGTGATAGATAGAAAAATTTCTTCTAATAAGACCAAGTTTTTGTTAGAAGGCACACAATAGCAAGAAAGGTGTGGAAGCTTTAGTCATCCACTGGCTATGGAATCTGCAAAAACCATGCGACCTGGTATACTTTTATCTTTGATATTTATTGTTTTTATCTTTAAAATATATTCTAATGACTTATTTTTTCTCATGATAGATGAATAGTGGAAGCATTTTGGGAGCAGCTGTCCAAATGTTAAAGACTTGACTGTTAAGATATTAGGCCAAACTGCATCTTCCTCGGGCTGTGAAAGGAACTGGAGTATCTTTGAAAGAATACACTCCAAGAAAAGGAATAAGTTGGAGCATGAAAGATTGAATGATCTTGTCTATATTCATTACAATTTTCGATTAAGGAATAGGTAAATTATTCAAAATTTTGCTTTCATTTGTAGTTATAAAAAATAAGTTACATGAATCCTTATACTTTATTACTATCGTGTGTTTTTATTAGAGTTGCTAACAAGAAGAAAACTTTGGACCCTGTTGATTATGAAAGTATTGATCAAATTGATTATTGGATAATGGAAGAAGATGATTGTTCTTTGCTCAATATTGATAATATAGAACAAGATCTCATTTATGATGACACTGTGCTACCAAAAGCTATCATTCATCAAGAGGATGAGGAAGGTTTGGTATTTTTTACTTAATGTTTTCACTTTTTTTATCACTTATCATGTGACTGTCATTAATTTGATTATATACATTGAATGTTTGTTTGTGAAGATAATGAGCAAAGAGGCAACGTGACACATGGTGAAGCTATTGGTGGACTTGATTTACAATTATTTTCTCAAGAGGATGTTGATAGCTTTAGTGAAGATGTTGATGCCTTTGAGCCTGCACATGCTTGGATTAACCAAGATCCCCCAATATTTGATAAGCCATGAAAATTTAAACTTATGAGTTATGATATTGTGAACTTTGCAATGATATGTTTGAGACATATATTTTGAATTTGTGGTATCTTTATTTGAGACTTTGAGCAATTAAAACATGTTTGAGACTATATTTTGAATTCGTGATGTCATTGTTTAAGATTTTGAGCAATTAGAACATGTTATGCAATGTGAATTTGTGGTGTTGCTTGATATATTATTGTTTTTTTTTTTGTCAAACCAATGTCTTATATATATATATATGCATATAAATATTATTTTTTATTTAATTTTTATGTTACCGGTTCGACCGCCGGTCCAACCGATTGAACCGTGAGAACCGTGACCCGCTACCCTTTCCGATTCGATATCCGGTCTGAGTTTCAAAACATTGCTCGCTACTGTGGGGTGCGTTGAGGAAGAACAGGAAGGCGGGGCTGGCTCATGATGCTCGCATCTGATCATATAGGGGCATCACGAAACGCCGTCCACTTGCCTAACTTTGAATCGACGATTTGGTCCTTGCATTTTGGTTGAAATTACATTAGTCCGCGGTGCATTCTTTTTGACTTTTTCTTCTTCTAATCGATCCGATGAAAACATTTTTAACTAGTTTACATTCTGATAAATTAGTAAGGTCTGGGTTTTAGCTCAAATTCAGCCCTCTTACTACGTACTTTTACTCCTGTCTTGCCAATTCTCTTCATATCCTCACGTTGAGTAGCGAATCTAGGATCGTGAGTTAGAGAAGTAATTTTCTCTAAAAAAAATTTATAATTTAGTAATTGAAAAATCAATTATATAGATTTATTATATTAATAGATAGATTTTGAGTTTATAAGTTAAAAAATTTGGATTCAAATTTAAAGAAAGTATCAAAATAAATTTAATATTTAAAATATTAAAAAAAGATTGCAAAATATAAAAGAGAGGGGTAGAATAATTAAAATTCAATACTCATTATAGTATAATTTTTTCAAGTAAGGTACATTTGCCTACCTTCATTTATATAAAGCTCCACCATTGCATATATCCCTGTACGAGATGTTATAGATATTTACGTTGCACCTATAATGTTATTTTTGGGAACGTATGTATTTCCTTAATCGACTGACCTAGAACTTCGACTAGAAATTGAAGTTTCGAGAAAGAAAATAGAGACTCTTTTACTAAATATTATTTTCCTTGTTTATATTTATTTAATACATTGTCTCAGTTAAAAAAATCAATAACTGTATGACTAATTAAAGACATTTAAGAGAAAATATATTAATTACATCTTTTATCATGAATGAATTTTAAAAACTTAAAACAACTGATAGCGTTAAACTTGATAGTTGATACTTATAAAAAACTGCTTTATAATACCGAAGGGATGAATACTGCAGCAATGCATTCATCTTTTGTTGATAAGATAAAATGTTTTGCTGGCCAAAAACAGCCGTAAGAGATGCAATTTTAATATTAGTTTTATAGTAGATTTTCAGTGATCTTACCAAAAAAAACTTCGTTACATCTTTTTTAAGTTGAAAATAAAAGGTAAACACTCCTCTTAAATTAAAATTAAAGTATAAAATAAAGTAGGATGGCTAAGTAATTTTTTTTTTTTATGTATTGATTTAATATTCTACATCTTTGTTATATTTTAAATATAAATTATTTAATAACTATCCTTATTGAAGAAGTTTAGAACCCTTGGTACGACCATAAGACAATAGCACGCACATTATTTTTACACTGATGCATTGTTTAACAGTTAACTGGCATTCAATTTTCATTGTATTATAAATATTATGTTATATGTGTCTATGACTCATAGCTTTTAAGATTTTTTTATCCTTAATGTCCTTATAAATGACTTGAAAAGAATTTTTTGATCTTATTAGCTTATAACCTTTAAATGTTTCATAGTGCACCATTATATGCCTCTTTATATCTTTGTAACATTAGGATGAAACTTGAATGGTTGAAGACCTATAAATAGAGGTCATGTCCAAAATATATGTATGTTAGTGAATAAGAATTTTTTTCAATTATTTTTTCTCCATTTCTTATATTGTCTTATTTTTCTTTACTCTTCATAGTAAAAATATTTTACAACACATTATCAGCATGAATTGATTCTGAAAATAAGGTATGATCTTTTAGTTAGATTAATGTATTCTTATATTATATATATAATTATATCTTATATTATTGTTCTATTAACATTCATGATTATGTTGTTTTTATATTTTATTTTTTTATTTTCCTATCATTTCATTTTCTTAGTTACAAAGTAATTTTACATTTCTTCATTTTGTTTATTTGAAAATAACCATGTGATTAGTGATTTAATTTAATCAAGTCTCATTTACCATTCCATTATTTTATTTTTATTATTTTATATTTTATATTTTTATAAAGATTGATATACTTATTTTTTTTCCTTATATTTATGTATTTGATGTTATCATCATCATCATTTATTGCTTTATTATTCTTTGTTTATTATTATTTTAGTCCTCCATTAAATTAATAATGTATATACATATTATACATTTTGTGTTTGTTTTATGTGTGTGTGTGTTGATCAATTTATATTGTTAATATAATTTATTTTATTTGTTAACATCATATGAATTGTTTTCTTTATCCATCAATTTATTTGCTTTATTAAATTTTATTGATCTTTATTATGCTTTATTTGTTTAGTAAGTTTGGTTATTTATATTTGTGTTTCTTTATATTGCGCCTCTTCATATTATGCTTCATTATAAATTATACTTTATAATCTATTTACGGTTATTTATCATTTTAACATATGTGTGTGAATGATTTTTTTTACTATAATATTTATTTATTATGATTTATTTATTAATTTTGTCATAATTTTAATTGCTATTATTATTTTAGTTTGAATCATAAAAAATCTTATCAAACTTGAATTTAGAACTCTTGATATTATGGGAAATAATTATTTGTCATGACTGTTAAATGTTGAAATTCATCTAGACGCGCAAGGTATAAGAAATGCAATTTCACTAGAAAAATAAGCAAGTAGTCAAGATAAGGCAAAGGCGATGATATTCCTTTGTCATCATCTTCATGAAAGGCCAAAAGCTGAGTACCTTACAGTAAAAGATCTACTAGAATTGTGAATTAACTTAAAAGAAAGGTATGACCACCAAAAAACGGTAATTTTACCTAAAGGTCGATATGAATGGACGCATTTGAGGTTGCAAGATTTTAAAACTGTAAATGAATATAATTCAATAGTTTTTAAAATAAGTTCTCAATTGAAATTATGTGGTGAGAAAATAAAGGATGAGGACTTGTTAAAGAAGACATTTTTTGTAACATCCTCAATTTTAAACCAGATTAATTAAGCCTAATTAGATTAATTAAATATATTAGTGAGGTGTGTGGCCAAAGAGACTTAACGGACATGTTTGATTGTGATTTTCTACCTTAAACACAGGTCTGAAGGAGAATCGAGTCACCCGAAAATAAACAGAGGAAGAAATTTTGAAAAGAGAGGTTCTGTGTCACACATCACGGCTTGTGGATAAGTCACCATAGTGCATGTGTGGTAACATTCCTAGGGAGATGCTCTCTATGCCATGTTCCACAGTGCATAGTGTATTCGTTGCAGTGCGTGGTCACATTTTTACTGTCATAAGATCACGAAATGAAGTAGAAAAGAGAGGAGGAACGAAGAAATACAAGAGAATAGTTGGAGAGCTCTGCTAGGGCTTGAGGAATCTGAACATTTGGAGTAATTTGAAGCCTATAAACATTAAAAGTAAGCTTCTTATATCTAAATTCTTCTTCCTTCTTCCATTTTCTTAGTATTGAAAGTCAGGGTTGGTTGATAATGATGGTTTTCGATCTATATAGGCTATGGGTCTGAACCTATTGACCTAAATAGATTTAATGGAAGTAGATTAAGCTAATAAAACTTAATATTTATAAATTTATTATGATTGATAGTTGGAGAGCATTTAATATGCGAATTTCACCATAAATGTATTAGTTGAAAACAATGTGGTTCCATTAATGACCATTAAAGAGCTCAATGATGTTAATGAGGGTTAAAGAAAGTTAAGAAACCTTATGGGTACTTTTATGTGAGTCAAGAATGAATCTTAAGAATTAAGAAGTGTTAAATTATTAGTAAAAATTAGCTCAAATGTGGATATTGATGATTTGCATTGTAAATGCTTGTAAAGTTACTATCTTTAGCACCATACAAGCTTCTTGGAAGCTTGGGATGAATATTAAAGGGGTAAAACCTTTGAGTCAAAGCTTTAAGGTAACCAGAGAAATTTTATCTTATACTTTTGTATATTAATTAGTTTATTGATCGATATTTGATAATTGAATTATGTGAGATTTGATTATAATGTAAATGTGGCTTGTTTTGTTTGAAGAGTCCACTATGAAGTGGTGATTTAATATAGTTTAATAATTTTAAAATTTTAGATTTCAATGATTGCCAATGGGTGAGGTACAATGATTATGAAAACATGGAGTGTAATGACTTTTTTAATGGGGAGTTCAATGATGTAAATTGTGAGTTAAATGATTAAATTGAAGTTCAATGATTTGTTTTTATTTAGAGTCCAATGATGTGAATGGTGATAGGGTAAAACGCTTGTGAATTAGAAAAGTTCAATGATTTATATATTATGGAGTTTAATAAAAAGTAAAGTTGAAGAGTTCAATAAATATCAGGAGTTCAATAATTGAATTGTATTTGTTGATGTGATTTTTCGTGTACGATGATGTGTTTGTGCATGCTTGATATTGAGTGATGGCATGCCTCAAAATATCGCATAATATATGCATTGTACGATCATGAGAGGCGGGAGTTCGCCTAAGAAGAAGAGTAGAGAATTAAATTGACGTGGTAGGGCTCCCATCTAAGTTAATAGCTTGCCCGAAATGTTTATATATATATATCATCCCACTTGTTCAATAAGGGACTGTCCCACCGATTCAGCGAGAGATTGAACCTAGCTAGCTATCTA